TGTGTTTTACGTAGTTTTGACCCATGTTCGGTTTTTTGACGGTTTTTCTCGGGATTTGTTCGTTCCTGAGCATCCAAACTGATTTGATATCATCCCAAACGTTGTTAATCAGTTATTAACTGAAGATAAAGAGGAATCATTCATTCTTATCCAAAAGCCCCCCAACCGAAGCCTATAAATACGAGCTCGGGGCTCATTTCAGAGGGGGGGGAGATTAATTATTAAGAGGAGGAGGTGTTGCCGGATTGAGGAGTCAAAGGAGCACGAATTTCAGCGATGGTTGACAGATCTTGGCGAGTTCTTCGGCATAAAAAAAGAGAGTTCGAGAGATCCGACGCCCGTTTTCCCTATTCCCTTGAGATTAGGCTTGGTCTTGATCTCAAGAAGAGCTACTGATTTCGCTTGGTCGATCTCAGAGCTTCAAATCAAATACTTCCTCGACGAAGGCGGAGCTCTGCCGAATTTTCAACAACTGGATCTGATCGACAGTCGTCCACGGATAAACTCCGGCACAAGCAAAGATCTCACGCAAAGCAGCGGGTGATAAACGTCCTCTGTGTTTTGTTTGAACGAGAATTGTATCTTTTATTTTCATTGTGTAAAGGTCTTATAAAAAGACCAATCTTTTTGAACTTATTGTAACGATCGAAGTTGTAATGAGTTATACAATGAAGAAAACAATTTTCGATGCAAACACTGACATATAAGCCAAACAACTCTATTGAAAGTATGCTTTAGTGAGAGTAATTCTATGATGGGTAACCTTCTGGGAAGTGTATATTATTAAACTGATGATACTATTTATATGTTTATAGTCGAGACACAACTATGTGTTGTTAAACACATTTATGTGTCACCACTCTCGACACATATATATGTTGTGAGTTTTGCGACGCATAATGTATCATGATTGTTATGACACATTTATGTGTCATAAATTTTGTAATATATTCTCACATGTGTAGAAAAACGCTCTCCACACATGCTCTACGTACACTTTTGGTATGTGTCGCGCTTCATTTGTGCGACACAAATATATATCGCATAGGAACGAAAAAATGTATTATAATTTACAACTTTTGTTACAGTGAGAGAATTAAAATATCTAATCTCACACAAATCTTAACGCATATACCACTATTAGCTGCCAATATGGTTATTATTGCTTAGTAGCTGTCAATCTGCACTGCTAGACAATAATGGTTGCACCATGTGTGTATTATCTTTAAGTATCTTCATCCCATCTTTCTATATGGTTTTCGTTGAGGGCCCTTTATAGGATTTTTTGGGGTAAATTCAGAAAACACCCATTGAGTTTGGGCGTTTCTCAGATAATCCCCCTGTTAACTTTCAAAATGTCATAAAACCCTCTTTATGTTTAGGTTTCTATGAAAACCGCCCTCAACAATTTCAACATTTCTCTAAAAAATTCCTAACAACATTTAACAACAATTATGATATGAGCGATTTAAATTACGTAGAAAGATATTTTTGCTAGTGAACATTGTGATTAACGCTGCTAGGGGGATACTGTTTGAAAACATTGAAAGTTGGGGCTTTCCTACGAACCCCAAAACATCATGGGAATTTTGTGACATTTTAAAATTTAGGGGGTGAGAACTGCTCAAACTTACGGGGGGATTTTGCGGAAAGTTACCCTCTTTTTAATATATATTACCTACACACCTCAATCCCAAGCCTCACCAACCGCTTCTCCGATATTCCAAAAATTAATATATTAAACATGCATGAACCCCCTCCTACCTCATCACCAAGAATAAATACCAGGTATCATCCACGCATATCGCATCATACAGCGCGCAAGCAGTTATCTTTGACTAGCGAAGAGAATGGGAGAGGTAGTAGAACTACGTTCTACTCCGGCAACGCCGAAGGCCGACACACCACCAATATCGGCCCCTCCATCGCAGCTCCACTCTCCATCACTAACGCGGTCGCCGCTGCTAACGCCGACGATGGCAAAATCGCCAAGGACTCCGAAGACACCGAGCCGGTTCTCGATGACACCGATCGCAAGCCCGATGAGGAAAGCGGTGGTGAATATGAGGGCGTATTTGGAGGAGGTTGGGCATATGACGAAGCTGGACCCGCATGATGCTTGGCTGCCCATCACAGAGTCGAGGAACGGGAACGCTTACTATGCGGCGTTTCATACTCTAAGCTCTGGGATTGGGTTCCAGGCGCTCGTGTTGCCCGTCGCCTTCACTGTTCTTGGATGGTAATATTTGAGCCCGTTACTCTCGTCTTGATCTTAGTTTATTTGTTTAATTACTTGTTTTTTATTTTTAGATTTTTTTTTTTTGAATAGATAAGAGTTTAATTATATGTTATCCTTGATTCCCGCTAGTCATAGCAGGTGGAATTGTCGCAATGAAATATTTAATCATTATTTATCTTCTATATTTCCGTAAATTATGTACGTTTTTGGATCTCCTGTTTAGTGCTCCAATCTTCTTATGTCTCTGGATGCATAGAATATAAAAGTTATGTTTAAAATTTCAGTATATCTTAGTGTGCAACAATAAGAAAGGTCAGAAAGTTGGATGTAAAACCAAACCATCTTCTCGCCTTGAAGTTTTCTCTTATAACGGATATATATTCAACATAACAGTTTCATATCGTGGAGGAGCCTAGGGTAAAAAGATTGTTCATATAATTTTTTTTAAATATCCTAAAATTTCATACCAACAATCTAGTAAAGCATAGCGCCTCACGCAAATTTCTAGTTATTCACACCCATTTATCCCTCTATGTTCTCATATTTGCACATGAAGTTTTTTTTATATAATTATCGATTAAATTTTGGCTCAGGTCTTTTCTCAAAAGAACAATCTACCAAAGCAAAAGATTTTTTTTTTAATAGAAAACTAGTAAAGCAAACGATATGCAAGGTTTAATAAACAAACAATTATTACATCTTTTAATTTATAACATAAATTTCATACTCCGAACTTTTCCCCAATAGGAATAAAATAATTGCTCAGGTCACCTAACTAATTATAGCTAAGGGTATCTTCAAGTTTTACATAGCGTTTGTTACCTGCATAAAGCTTCCTTGTTTGGGTGTGTGATGAAACAAACTTGCAAGTCCTCGTCTTAATTGCATTAAAAAAGATGTTCAAGAAACAAAAATTAATAAAAACAGAAGAGCAACATCCTCAGATTTGAGCTCGGATTGTATGGATCTGTTTGCTCTGTTTGTCGATTCGACGCGCCTCCTAACTAGAGAAAAAAAAGTGACAAACTAGGATTAGCATGTAATTTTATAAAATGTTTGAAATTTCTACAGAGCAGAACTCGCCGAGGAAATTGCTTGTATTGATACTGACATGGTCCTCTTTGCATTGATTGTGCGCGCTAACTAGTAACTAGCAGACAAGCTCAGAGCTTTCAAGAAGCTTATCTTGGACGCGCGAGGCTCGCCAACAAGTTTTCTTCTAACAAAAGAAGAAGGTGATCCGTGACAAGGATTGGGGATAGAGAATTAGTGAGGTGCTCGTCCTTTCGAAATCCTCGACATCCATGACTTTACGCATTTAGGCATTTAGGATTCCCATAGTCAGAATTCACAAAGTACTCACTTTTGCGTTTTCATCCTGATTTGTGCTCACTTGAAGGAAATCCATAAATACGCTCAATTCTAACTTCGGTAGATCCTGCTTGCTCATTTCGATAGAATGAAGAAAAGGAAAAGTTCTATAGGATCCACCGATAATCTTACCATCAACACTCTGGGGCCTCTACTCTTCCTGTGGCGTGCAAAACCCAAACTCAAAACAGAGAATTTCTCACCCCGGTTTTTCCACGACGGACAACAAGTTTCATCACGTTTTTCTTATTCATTTCCCTTCAAAACAAACAACAGATTCCATGAGTTGCCAACAAACCTGTAGAGACAAAGTAGCGCTAAGGTATCCTTTGCTGGATAATACGAGTCAGCAAAATGCTAGTAAATGTCTCAAAAGACCAAGAGTTTACACCCCCAAAGTTTCTCTAATGTACCGCTATAATTCAAGCAAACACTAAACCCACCAGACAATTTCGTTCCAGCCAAAAGATGGACATAGCCTTGTACCATAATACCAAACTGATCTCGGACCCTCACACATAACTGCTGCTCTTTATGCAGGACGTGGGGGACAGTAATCCTGTCCTTGGCGTTCATCTGGCAGCTCTACACCCTTTGGCTACTGGTCATCCTACACGAATCAGTGCCCGGTAACCGTTACAGTCGTTACCTTCAGCTCGCCAATGCAGTATTCGGTAAGCAAAACCCATATACTCCCTATATTCCATATGTACTTCAGATTTCTCACACTGCAGCTCCCTACCCATTCTCAGGCACAAAGTTCGGGAGAAGTCTCGCGTTGTTCCCCATACTGTACCTATCAGCAGGCACCTGCTCCGCCCTCATAATCGTCGGTGGCAGCAGCATGAAGCAATTCTTTGAGATTGTTTGTGGCCCCACCTGCACTTCAGAGCCTCTAACTGCCGTTGAGTGGTACATCGTCTTTACTTGCCTTGCAATCATCCTCTCACAGCTCCCAAATCTCAACTCCATCGCTGGCATCTCCCTCGTCGGTGCACTCACCGCCGTCGCCTACTGCACCATGATATGGGTCGTGTCAGTGATTAAAGGTCGGCAACCGGGAGTCTCTTATAATAGGGCCAAGACAACATCTGAGGTTGATAGTGTGCTTGGTGTCATAAATGCCATTGGAATTATTGCTTTTGCCTTCAGAGGGCATAACCTTGTGCTTGAGATTCAGGCAACTATGCCGTCTACTCTTAAGCATCCATCTCGTGTACCTATGTGGAGGGGAGTGAAGGCTGCATACGTAATCGTTGCATTGTGCCTGTTCCCTATTGCAATTGGAGGTTTCTGGGCTTATGGGAACCTGGTGAGCAAAATCATTCTCTAGCATTGTTTCTACTTTCTACTCCTTCAGCATAAGATAAATCTCATTCTCAACTTCGTCTTGAAATGGAACAGATACCTCAGAATGGGATCCTTACCGCGATGTTCATGTTCCATAGTCGAGACACCTCTAGTGCAGTGTTGGGCCTGACAACTCTCCTCGTCGTAATAAACTGTCTTGCTGCTTTTCAAATATACGCGATGCCAGTCTTTGACAATATGGAGTCTGGATACACCAGCAAGAAAAACAAACCGTGCCCAAGATGGTTGAGAGCAGGGTTTCGGGCATTCTTTGGAGCGGTTGCTTTCCTATTAGCATTTGCATTTCCTTTCTTGGGGGATTTGGCTGGACTCATCGGAGGTATAGCACTGCCTGTGACTTTGGCTTATCCCTGTTTCATGTGGATTATAGTGAAGAAACCAGAGAAATACAGTTTCATGTGGTACCTCAATTGGGGATTAGGAAGTTTAGGCATGGGTTTGAGTGTTGTATTGGTTGTCGGAGGATTGTGGAGGATAGTAGAGACGGGTGTCAAACTTCGCTTCTTCAAGCCTCAGTGATAGGAATAAAGAGATTAAGATCGTAAAAGGTGCCAGAAAGTTCTAATATTCCATTTGCTGATCTAACGGATAAGTGTGAGAAGCTTTAGTTGTCTGAACTCTGTGGTATCATATGATGTACATACAGTACATGTAGAGTTGCGTTAAATATTTTTATGCCCACCCGCTTGGATAAATATAAAACTACTGAAATTTTGTCTTAGCAGCAGCATACAAATAGACAGACATTTGTCAGGATAATTTACTTTTGCCACTTGGTCCGAAAATTCCAGGAGTGCTCATACCTAGAAACTGTTACTGTCTTTTCTTTTTCTCTAAACAATAAATAAAACCCAAGGATGAAAAGCAATTGAGCCAAGGCTTACATTGGAGAAGGAATTACCAACCACAGCAACAAGTAATAATGTTGGAGCAAGAATAAGGACGTGCTCTGGTTTCTATCTCCTCTGTAGAGGGGATTGGTTCCAGGGTGTATATGCTCTCTCTTGAGCAGCAGAAGGTACACAGATTTCTGTAGATACCTCTACTGAAGAGATAAAACACATTCAGGAAGTTCCCTGTAAATCAAATAATACTAATTTCGTAAGTGGTTTGATTCGTAACTTGTGATGCTCACAACTGATAATATTGACCACTTACAGAGGAGCATTATACTAATCTTACCTTAGGTAGAAAATCTGTTGTCTTACAATTTCGTAAGTGGTTTGATTCGTCGATAAAAGATAGCTACAAGAAAACATGTAAGGGAGCTCATTTTATCGTTCAATATGTTTGAAGATGTTAGCAACAGAACTTGTAATCAGCATATTTAACATGCCAATTAGGGACAACAATGGCTGAAAGCCCTAGAGCGTGAGTAAAAGTTAAGATACAAGTATTAACTCAAAGATATGCAGCTAAGCAATTAAGAAGGAATAGCTATTAGAACAATGATATATCTCACAAGGAAAACATCAAGGAAAATTGAAGGTTACCTATGGAAAAGCACCAGCAAAAACAGAAAGATGAAACAAAATATCAATAACGCTAATAGTAGTATCACATAAAATCCTCCCACCGGATAACAGAACCAACATGAGCATTATATCAGAGAAAGCATGATAAATACAGAAAAAATGGGAACACTGGTTAGTTCACTTTCTTTATATGTGTGTATCTGGGATCCATGGCATATTGAGCAAAAAAGTACTAAAGGTGGCACTATCTTGAGTACATTGCAACTCTGGTCCAAATAGATACTAATGATCAGAAATTTTCCGTTTACATTTGTTTCTTAACAGTTAAGAACTTACAGCTGTCAAGGAAGAAAAGTTAAGTGGTAAAAATTAGATTAGAGAACTTAGGAAAAGGCTCAGAGTATGCTCTATATGATGAAGATCCTAAAGAAGGTAATGCTGGTGTATCAATAGAGCATTTGGCAAAGGATCTGAATATTTACATGTCGTATTGTTGAGTTTCCTCACTCAAGACTATTACCAATGCATCAATTCTGAGAATGCATCACTTTTGAGAATGACATTAAATTTGTAACAGTTTAAACAATATTATGATAAAATGAAGT